AGCAGGGAGCCCGATGCAGGACTCGATCCAGGGACTCCAGGATCATGACCTGAGCCGAAGGCAGTCGCTTAACCAACTGAGCCACCCAGGCGCCCTTAAATTATTATTTTTTAAATGATAAAGCTAACATATATTCATGGTTTAAAAAATGATTCCCAAAGGACATATAACCTCCCTCTTCCCCTTCCTCATCTTCCTTAAATAAGCTCTGAATCCTTACAAAAAGTTTCCATGCATTCAGACACATACATATATTTATATACTTCTTTGTTGTCTTGCCAAGGCAAAATTGATATTTCATGACTCACACTGTTCTGCATCTTATATTTTTTCACTTTACAATCTCTCTTGGAGGTGTTTCCGTATTATTATAACGAACTCTACATTTTTTTAACTGCTATTTAACATTTTCCATTGTATGGTTGGATTCTAGTTTGTTGGCCCTCTTGATGTATATTTAGGTTGTTTCCAGTGTCCTCTCCCAGCCCCATCCTAATCAATGCTTCAGTGAGTACTCCAACGTGAGCTTTTTGTGCCCACGTATGTACAGTTGTCTAGGGTGAAACAGTGGAATTATTAGGGCATGCCCTTTGTGTATTTTGATAGAAAGGGATGAACTGCCTTCTCAAAAGGTGCACTCAAGTGTACCTAACTACCTGTTTCACCATATCTTCACCCAAACAGAATATAAACCATTGTTTTAATTTTTGACAACCTGATAGGCAAAAAAATCTTACTGTTGTTTTAATTTTTTTTTTTTAATGATTACCAGTAACATTAAGCAACTTACCACCTCCCCATGTGTTTTCATCCATTGGACTTCCTCTTCTGTGCACTACCTGGTTCATATGTCTTGTCCAGTTTTCAACTGGGCTGGGTTTAGGATTTCTTTCTATACTCTTCATCTATGGGATTAATGAATAAGTCCTTTCTGCCAGTGCTATAGCTTTTTTTCTAGCTCCGTCTGTGTATTCTCATACACAACTTTAAAATTTTGCAGTCATCAAATTAGTTAACCTTGTCTCTTCTGAATTTTTTGTTTTATTTTTTAAGATAGCTTTCTCTTCCCAAGACAAATATACTTTCCTATATTTTCTTCTAATACTTTTACAGTAAAACAAAACAAAATAAAACAATGTAGGTCTTTAATTAACCTGGAATTGGTTTTGGGGCATTTGGTCTGGAATTTGGTCTGAGGTAGGGATACCACTTTTTTTTTTTTTTACCCAAATCAATAGCAAGTTTTGGCAACCACTGAAATATGTTGACTTTGTTACAAATAGTCTGAAGAGCAATTTACAAGTACAGATTTCTGAGACCCAATCCCTTGACATTACATTTAAAAACCATGGAGTAAACCTCAGGAGTTGCCCTACTACTCTAATTTGCAGCTAGTCTTGACAATCTTTGACTGGGGTCCAGCATCTCCCCTATTTTACAAGCAGGAAACTAAGGATGAGAAAGAGGCAGGGATTACCCCAGCTGATTCTCTCCCCACCCCATCTCCTCAGGCTCCCAGGAATCCCATGGCCCCAGTAGCCCTGTTTTTTCAGTCCCCCCAGCCTTATACCCCAAGCCAAGGATGGGGGCTCAGCCTGCTGCAATTGTAACCCCTGGGGTCAACGTGACCTTGAGGTGCCAGGCACCTCAACCTGCCTGGCAGTTTGCACTCTTCAAGTCTGGAGAGATCACCTCTGTGCTGTACCGGGATGTGTCCATGGAGCTGGCAGAGTTCTTCCTGGAGGAGGTGACCCCAGCCCAGGGGGGCAGTTACCACTGCTGCTACTGGAATCCAGGCTGGAATCTGGGTGTCTGGTCCCACCCCAGTGATACGTTGGAACTGCTGGTGACAGGTGAGGTCCTGGGGCGGGGGGAAAAAGAAGGGACTTTGGGGTGTGATGAGGGAGGGAGAAGGAGGGACAGAGAAATACAGGGAGAGAGATACTGAAAGAGACATACAGAAACAGGCTTGTATAATGACCCAGAGCAAAAAGAGCTACGTGGGGAGAGAAAGAGAACCAGAGAAACAGGTGATTCTTAACCAGGGACGATTGTGCCCCCCAGGTGAACCTTCTGGTAATATCTGGGGACATTTTTGGTTGTCACTACTACCAAAGATGCTGCAAACATCCAACAATGCACAGGACAGCCCTCATCCTCACCCCATACAACAAAGAATTATCCAGATTTATCCAAAATGTCACCAGTGAAGTTAGGAAACCTTGGGAGAAACCCAGAAACACCAGAAGAAACAATTCCGGAGACGCTGCCTCCGAGATCCAGGGTAGTGAAACGCACAGGACGGGGAGATCAATACAGGGACACGGAGAGAGAATTTTAGTGAGGCTCAGGCCAAGAGAGAAAAGGGAACAACCAGGGAGAGAGAGGCAGAGACACAGAGAAAGGTGCACTTGGGGGCGAAGACACAGGGGGAGCCAGGGACAAGGATGCAAAGGGCACAGAGACCGACACGGAGGCAGAGAAACTGTGGGAGACACTGGCAGAGATAGAGACAGCGGGGGGAGG